AATGCATGTCACTATTTGTCCGTACACTACAGACTAGATAAGATAAGTGACTAGCATAGTGACCTGTACTCATTCTTTCTTTGAACACAGATTCGACTAAAAAGTGTAACTAGAGCCTATTTGAACCATAGAGTATAAATTCATATACCTCATTTCACACAAATCAATCACCTGTCGAACTTGAAGCAGATCTCAATTAATAACATATTCCGAATTGTGCGTGGGTATAACTCAACATGATGTAGTTTTCCTATACTTAATTATATTTTCTTTTACATATTTATTACTTCCTTTTAGGGGAGAAAGCAACGTTAGTTCAGCTTAAATATTGCACAGGTCACGATGCCATTGTAAATCCTAGCACGAATGAAGGAACACCCAGTTCAAATTAAATTTACCTATCATTAGATAACAGAATTCCAGACAAATGCTCCTTTGTTTACGTTGCAATAAAAGGTAAAGTCGCTGCATCGCTCAAATAATTCTCTAAAAGCATCTTAGGTTCTCCTCAAGCATTTAAAGTAACATTATCATCGTCAGATACCAAATACGCTCTTAAAACATCGCGGTTTTAATTTATAATGGAAGTGCGACATCATTTTCAGCATAAAATTTATTACATGCATTAAGGCTGAATTTAGTTATCTACAAAGAACTTAAAATTCAGAAGGCGAAGTTTTGCGCTCTGATTTATCTCGGAATTAATTTGACCTCGATGTTTAAAGCTTCTTTTTCACTTTCCACCTACGTTCGGTTAACGGCTTTGCAGAAATAAAATCAGACAAATCTAAAGACGATGTATGTACGTGCTACGTGCTAAAATTGAATACAAAAATATAATTACTAGTACCTACCCACAATTGTCGAAGAATATAAGACAATAAATGATGTATCATTAATTAATTATAATCTATGTATCATTATTTTATAGACATCGGAAATTTTGAGGCGACAATCAAGTAAATAAACAGTAGTAAGCTATACAGGGTGTCCCAGAATAACGTGCTCAACGGAAGATCACAGATTCCTGAACTCAAAATAGGCAGATTCAGGCTAATACGTGACAATTTTTTGAATTAGTAAAAACAATCAAACACAATAAAAAAATGATGGAAATAAAACTAACTAAGTTGATGTTATTAAAGACCACAACACTACAACAATGGTTAATTCGGTGAAGAAAAGGACACCCTTTGCAGTTTTTGGTGGCTATTTTTTAAAACATTTATGGCATTTTGGATGTGCCTCCACAACTCTTCTTCAGTGCTAGATGTGGAAGCATATACTGCTGATTTTAGAGTGCCCCAAAGATAATAGTAGCAAGGTGTTTTAAATCTGGTGAATGTACAGGACAGTTAACAGGAGCATTATCCCCTCTAGCGATCCATCTACGAGGACATTTACACGGCAATGTGGTGGAGCGCTATCACGCATAAACCACATGTTAGCTCTGAATAATAACGGCACATCTTCCAATAACTCAGATAAACAGTTTTACAAAAATTCTAAATAAAATTTCCCATTCAGTCCAACCAAACATAGGTTTTTTTACATTGTAAAGGACCCAAACATTAATAAAAGTGAGATATTTAAAATTATAAAAAATATTCACAACTGACAACGCTTTCCTGAACACGGTATCACGCACAGAGTACAGGATATAAATTAATTTTACTGTGAGCTCAATTCTTTCTGATCAGAACTTCTATTTTGTACACCAAAGATTTCATATCATACGTTCCCAGGAGTACAAATAGCGTGGATAAAGGTCTGTAGATCGGTCGCACCATAAACCAGGCCAATTACGTCTTACGTACCACTTACCACGAATTCTTTGGTTGGTACAAAAACCATGCACATATTCTGTTGAATATTAAGTAGTAGTAGACCATTCTTCAAGAGGAAAGTAAATATCATTGTGTAAAAAGTGCAAATAGCTACCACCAATCAATCTCTATGTGGTAGAATTAAGGTTCAAATAAGATGCTATTAACAATGCCCGCCCATAACTGCCAATTTGTTGGAAATTTGTTCTTCGGGCCTCACGGCAATTTTTCATGGACCGTATATGGCTGTTATGGAAATTGTTAAGTCCATTCTATGTTAATATTGCATTATCGATGACCAACACATATTTAGTAAAGTTTTATTCTAGTTGTTTTATTCTATTTACATACTACAAAAATGAACCCTGGCATAATGGTCCTCTGATTGCATGCTTGTACCGACGAATGTAAGACAGATAAAATTGTTGGTTTTTGTGTGGTCTCAAATTTTACTTTACATTAACCTCACGAAAAATTTGTCTAGCACTAATTGTAGGTCATTCTTCTCCGAGAATGTTGAGAATTTCTTCTTCAATTTGTAACGTCCGATTTGGTCAAACTCTATTGGCATGTCTTCCACGATCTTTTTACAGTTTTTCATTACCAGCACTTCGCTGAATCAAATATGCAAACCTTCGGGTTTTGGATTGTATGTTATTAGGACAGATCTCCGCATAGAGCCAAAATAATTATAAAAGATTTTGAAGCAAACATACCCAAAAGATTACGTTACTGTATCTCTTATTGATGTCTGAATACCTTTTTGGCGAAAATATTTATCACTAATAGTTCAAAAAAATTAAAGTGCTAACAGTAATGTCTCCAATAAACTTTCTTTGACATCTCAGTTAACACCAACCAAAAAAACCTCAAACCAAAACTTAGAACAAAGGGGAAAATGTTAAATAGCGACAACCATTAGATTTAGACTAATTAATGTTCGTGTGTAGTCAGAAGTGTCATATGACAGTTCTTATAGAACGGGCGTCTGAAATCTCATTAACTTCAAGTATAAATATTCAAGTTCAACTATAAATATTCGTGTTATGACAAAATTTTTATTATACTTACATTAAAATTAAAATCAACTTTCTAAAACTCTTTGCATATCTACACAGAAAAATATGAATACCTATTTTGAATCAAGAATAGATTTATACAATATTATTAATGGATAGTTTTTTAATAAAGATTTATTTAAAAGAAATAATTTTATTAAAAAATTAAAATAAATAAATCTTGATCGATAAACGATTATGCAAAGTTATGATATGCTTGAAAATAAATGTATGCCTGATTCAAAATAGTCAGTTTCTTTTTTAACCATTAGTCCATTTTTGTTAGAATACTTATGACATTAAAACATTTTTTATTTATCACAATCGAAAGTCAGGCAATTTATCACATTGTGCGCAGTGCTCCGTAATTAATTTTCTGCCGGAGTTTTCTAATCATTATGCATGCTGCCCAATTAATCACATTGTCCATAACGGATATATTTATTACCGTAATCTGTGAGAATCTTATAAAAACTTGTTAGAATGTTATACAGGTAAGTTTTGCGGAAAAAGTTTTTTATAAATAGAATATTTTAGTTTTACTTCTTAATCCTCGCGTTAATTTTTCTGGAACTACAAAATAATTGATGTAAAATCGATCAGTTGGCTATAACCTACCAGAGAGATGGGTAATATCGATTAATTGAAAATTATCATTAACTTTTCTGTTCCAGATTATCATACACAATCGTAATGAGTCTCGGAATGAGTTCGTATAGATTATAGGAACAAGCTTCATAGTTTTTATTAAGTTTACGTATACCAGTTAGCTTCTTTTTATTAGTTTTCAAACTAAAATTAATATTACATGATTTTTTGTTTTCACTTTCTTTTACCTTTTATCTGTTACAAATGGGTAAAATCAATTGGTCAAATCGACATTACCTCAAGTGTCTGTAACCAAATATTAACACTATGTCCACTCAAACTTATATGACGCATTGTATCGCTATACTAAAAGTGACGTTGATATAACGCCCTTTAACATTGTGAGGAAAAACCGACACAATATTGCACCAAGGTTCTAAAACGTGAATGATGTCGCCGTCGAAATTCTCCCACGTTTCTTATCTTTCTGATCTTGTAAGAATTCCAAATATAAAAATTTACATTATTGGGAAATAATTACGCAACATTACTGTACTGTTTAGAATTAAAAAACTAATAGCTTGGTTATTAGATGATATGCAGATTGAACAGATATTATACTGTAAAATAAATTCAGCGAAATTTCACTCACACTGCACTCAACTTCTGTCCGCGCCGAATTGAGTGAAATGTTCAGTATGTTAAAATAAGTAAAATAACTATATTAAAAGTGAAATTACTAAAATTATTATACAATCTGAGTTTTTATTAGTCCCCAGTGAGTGAATTTTTAATACATTATAAACATATTATAAGTAAGAACAATTAGAAGATTTTCTAATATGATTCAAATATAATTATTGTTGAAGTAATTTTAATTAGATTCCGTAGGTATACCTTGTTACACTTTGAAAATTTACTTGTCTTAATGTACTCCTTTGCTGCTTGATATGTTGCGGCTTTATTTTTTTGTGACCATTTACTTTACCTTTAGTATCGTTAGGCACATAACGTCTAGTGTGATTCGTAGTACAATAGTGAAAGGAGACCACTCAATTTGACATACAGCTAGTTAAACTCTTTCAGGTACTAAGAACCAACCAATCTTCTTTCTTGGTTTCTGATTAGAACTTCTTTTTGTGAAAGTATTGATATAGGTGGTACAGGCTATGTAGATACCTTATTCCTAGGGTAGAATCATGTAAATATTCGGGAAACCATCTATATATAAGCGTCGTCATATTATCTGCAAGTAAAACTTGATAAAAATCTCCATCCAATTAAGTAAATAAATACTAACCTCAGTCTGTTTTGGTTTGAAAATAGCTGTCAGTTGTTATCCACCAGTTGTCATGTTCCTTGATCGTCGTACCAACAGGTTGATCTAAAATTCCCCTAGACAACTGAGAAAGGAATTGGTCGAATGGTCGGAAGTTTTCTCTCTCTTTCTTTTTCGATAGATATTTCGAGCCACGTTTTGTGCTGTACGCGAATTGCGGATTTTTGGAAGAAATATCTGGGCAAAATAAATGTTTTTGGTATTTTTCTAAGCCTTAGTAGTTGGATTTTAATGCCCATATCGAAGAACTGAGAAATTTTCACTTTAAGGCCGATCAACAACCTAGGTAGGTAGTGAGGTTAGGATAACATGTGGTCACATTCTCACTTTGAATTGCAGATATGTTGAACATTTATTTCTTCTTTTTCAGGCCTTTTTTTTTTTTGTTTTTCCTTTTCTTTTTGTATTTTCGCCTTTGGTCTCATCTTGTTTGGTACCCGTTTACTGGCATTGGTTACTCGACACCACCTATCGAGTTAAAGCTGCCGTAGCCATCACAACACACTGAAGCCCCACTGAACTATATCGTACATCAGCAAGTTGACCCTCTCGCTTGCTCACTGTAAATTTTGCTGCACCCTACCGTCTTTCTGGAAGTAGTCTTTAGTGGCGGGAGTGCTATTACCTGATATACCCAGGCGGAGTGATACCACCCCGTGACGACTTGACCTGGAGCGGTTCAACCGAATAACCTACGCACTCTTCAGATAAGCCTAATATTAGTTTAGTATATTATTTGTAGCGTTTAAGTTTTGCACTTCATAGATGTAAAAGCTTCACTTCTGCATCATTAGTCACCATTATTTATTGTCTGATTTTTATGTACTGTTTTTAAATTTCACCCATACGTGCCTAAACGTACCTAAAATAAGAACCTTGGTAATAATTTGTTTTTGTCACGCCTTTTACAAGTGCTATAGATAATCCATCGAACATATAAATTTTTACATTTAGTACACCTACCTGTGTAAACCTCTGGTACAGCGCTGTAGTAAAGGGAAATCTTTTTTTAACTTGGCTTTTCTCAATCTGCCAAGATTTATACATATTTGTTTTGTTTATATCTGATATATTCGCTCAAGTGACATTAACCTATAAGACCCAAAACAATACTGGTTGCCAGATCAGTAGGCACGAATTATACACTAGCCATGGAACTTGATCGACGTTGATCCGCTCGACGTCTGGCGCGTTCCACAAACTATAGTAAAGTGATCCGATCACATGTACATGTACTCTGATACAATATATGAGTAGATTTTAAAGTAGTTTCATTTTTTTTTGGAGATCTGCCTTTTTCCCGTTTTTTTTTTTGTTTTATAGGTATATTAATAGTGAAGGCACCGTAGCGAATAAAAACCACCACATTGGGTAAACTTAACATCCGGGGTTGCAAAAAAACGGGTGGCGCCTTCATAACATTCTTTTAGCTGTAGACCCACTCCGTCTCCACTGAAGCTAGCGGCCAACCCCTTTTGTGGAATATATTCGCTACCCTCGTTCCACCGATCCACCCGAAATACAAAACCTACCCACACCCTTTTTTTTGCTCCACATTCTTTGCTACACACAGTGATTTAGTTTAGCTTATTTAAACATTGATTGATTGTGTATTATTTTTTTTTTGTTAGGAAACGTTTTTTTTTTGTATTGTATTTTTTTATTGTGTGTTTTTTTGGTTGAGTAACAACCTATTTACCTATTTACTTTATGTAAATTCATCTGATCTCGAAATTAAAAAACTTAATCTCTAACATTTAGTTTTTTTTTTACTTTCTTAAAACTTATAACAAATTCAATAACGTTTAGGGAGGATATAGGTACTCAATTTTACTAAGTTGATTCACTTGGCACATTTAATGTGTTCATTCTATTATTTACACTATAGTTTTAGGTACTTGATGAAATAATTGAAAATTTATACCACTTTACGTGAATAATACCTGTCTTGTGCAAACAAATTTCATATAGCCTCAAAATTTTCCAGAAAAATTGTGTAAATAGATTAAAGTGAACATATTAATATTACAAAATATTTCAATTTCATCTTGGAATTTTCTAACAAGAGTAAATATTACTTAATTTTAACTGCATCTATTTACGAGTTAGAAATGTGGGAGAATTAAAGAAACAAAAATGTTCAGTAACAGAAACTCCAAATATTAACTGACTACAACTACGTGGAATTTTATAGTCATAGCTGTTAATTAACTCAAACTGGATATCAGAATTGTCCGATACTGATCTTGAGAACCATGATGTAACAAACACATAAAAAGTCTACGTCAAAAGATTTAACACCAGTCAAGTTCCAAACTTCCTAAACTATTGGAATACCACTTTAATTATACAAAACTTGAAGCGGGTTTTTATATAAGTAGGCGTTTCCAGGGAGGAGCTTAAATTGACAGTGTACAATAAGAACGAGCAATTTTTCCACTTCTGACACCAACAGTATAGAACTTGACAAGAATTGTGTGTAATTAAAACACGTTAGAAATAATTTATAGTCATCAAGTCTTATTCTATTTAATTTGATTCTCTCTTCCAAAGTACGTAATAAAAAGATTAAAAAAAAAATAAAAGTCAAATGGCATTAGTCTTCTTGAAATAAGAAATTGTTGTTGTTGCTGAATAAAACTAAATAAATACCTACTCAACTCAATCCACTGGTGTAGTTTTTTAATTGTTCTTTCCGTATGAAAAACAGCACTTTTTTGCTAATGTATAAATATTATCAATGTAACCATTAAAACACTTCAAATAATTGTATTATTTCTGTATTATCTGAAAAATTTACGTGGAGGCATTAATTTCGTTCCGGAAATTATACCACCGCTAACTAAGGTATATTAAATATCTTCTAGAGTAGGAACCTGTTAGATCACCTCGAAACAAAAACCGAGCGGTGCCATTAATCCATCAAAACTCACCTTGTAATTTAATAATCCAAACGGCCCGCTGCAGTCATGAGCCCGCGCCTCAAACAAGTTTCCACTCCAGTGACAGACTTCCAAACAAATCGTTCAATCCATGATCATCATCATGTAAGCCACAAGCACTGAGAAAAACAAAAGCTGCCCAAATTCACCTCGCAAACACTCACAAGCAAAAAGAAAGCACAATCACAAAACAAAAAACAACTCAAAAACAAAAACCGACTAACGCATGGATATCTCCGAAAGTGTCGTTCATCTCTTGCAGTTCGCGTAGTTTGAATTTCCTTTGGCACTAAGCGTTAAATATACTGTAGAAGGCGATGCGTGCTTCATAAACACAAAAGGCAATGGTGCTGAGCATCACACAGATGAAGCGCGAACGTATTTCTGCATTCAGTGAAACACCCAAGTTCGGCGACCGTACAACCCAACGCTTTCAACAGAAACTGACTGGATTTTGTACAATCTGAAGTTCAGCTCGCGCCTAGCTAACGCGGCCGCCGCGGTCACCACGTGGATTTCGGATCAGCGCGCATGCACGTGCATTCCTTGGGATGCTCGAGGAATTTCAGCACTTTGTCGGAATCCTGCTTTGACGCACGTCAAATGCAATCTGATTGGGCTGGAAAATGAGTAAAACATGAGTTTTCATAACAGTGCAAAGCCAAAGACACGCTATGTGTCTTTGGCTGTTGTGACACAAGTGTTATCACATGACAAATTTTGAGCCCATCATTTTGCATATGTTTAAATCCATAAAGGACATAATTCTACCTTGTTATGTTGTAGTTAGTCACGTTTTGTCCGCCTAACAAGACAGCCATTTTTTCTCACAAATTTAAAATAACTGAGTTTTAGGGTCAACAAAATTGACGAATTATTGCATAAAGTGTTAAAAATCATCTAGGATTTAATTCAATTATATGAACTAAAAAAATACATATGTGCAAAATAATAAGGCCCTATACACATTGTTGGGATGTCGTGTGACATCCCAACAATGTGCCTGTTTCAATAATTATTACCGTAATATTTAAAGGAATATATGTTGGTTCACAAATTTATATTAACTTGTATATATTTCCATCTTAATCAAAATGCAGTTTTCGATATACCGGTTGATTCAGTTTGGTATTCGCGGCCCTGTATCTCTTTTATTTTGGCAAATAGCTATAACAATCCCTATATATTTTTAAATCGCCGTTCAAACTCTATTAAATGACATTATTAGATCGTCTCCATGGTAACATATGTCAAAATTGCTATAGTCAACTGTTTTTGTTCAAATGGCACACTATATATTTTTTTATCAATTCTGGAAGATATTTTTTTTCTACGTTCAGCTATATAGTCTATAGTTTCATTAGAAATATTGTTAGAAAAACAGCAAAAAAGATGAACCCTACATTTCTTATATTTATTTTGAAAAATGATAGCCAGCTGCGGAAACAAGCTACTATGTTTTTTAAAGTAACATATTTTATTTTTAATACGAAAATAATATAACAATATAAAACAATACTTATTTCAAATGTTCAAAATGACCTACATTTGCTTCCAAACACAGAATGGCTCTGTTTATCACTCCCTCTCTACACTCTACTTTTATTCTGTTTTTAAGGTCGTCAATATCAATTAGGTAATTTATTACAAGTATTTTTAGGTCGTTTATAAGAAGGTGTGTCATTTATTTAAGAATGTAATTTTAAAATAGTTTTAAGAAGCAAGGCAAAATGTAATCGTACAAAATGGAAACTGACATAAAGATATCTGAAAAATTTAAAGAATGCAGAGCAGTTAATAAAAAAGCAAAACAAATAGGGAAAATCTTTTAAATATTTAGTAACCGAGGGTATTCACTATATCGGTAACAATGACTCTGTTTAATATACCAAGCATGAGAGATGACGCATCTGACATCCATTTTAGTTGGAAATACCAATAGACATTGCCTTATTCAAGATAATCTACACATTTTACCAGTGATTTTATTTCCATTTTAACAGACTGTTTGTGTCTGTTATTCTGAAACATTCGGATAAACTAATTTTGGTAAGTTGATCTGAATTCAAAGATCTCTGTAATTGAAAATATATTTCGAGAAAAATAGAACAACGAAGAAACACCAACACGGTTACTGGTATACGGGAGAAATAACTATTATTACTACCAGTTTGTGGAATAAAAAATAACAATAAAATTTGTTAAGTTTAAAATTTTTACGTTTTTTTTTTTTAATGAAATGATATTGTTGCGAATACTATTATGAAATTAAGAAACTATATAAATTGTATTTGTATTGTTTTATAAAAGAAACCCAAACAGTGGTAACTTACTTTTCACTTCTCCAAAATAAAATTTATTACCAATGTAATATGCCATTATTTGCATGTTTCTTCATAAATAAAAAATGCGCATCCAATAGAAGCAGCAAGTAAATGTCGCAAATATTTGCATTTGAATGATGATACACAAAAAGTATTTTTTAACGCATTATTTCTTTGTGTTTTTTTTTAATAAAATACCTACCTACTAAACATTGCATATGCATATATCTATCATATTTTAAATGAACCTTGTTTATGACAGTCATCATCATGATCACAATGTCTTAGTGGCGGCTCGTGACATTGAGAATAGGTGAAACATATTCACTGATTGACGAAAAAGAAAAAAAAGCGCCGCAGGCAAAAATTTCCGAGGTCAAACGGCTTTAAATGGATCTGGAAATGTTTTGTTGCATTTGCAATATTATCGACTGACGTTCTTGAGAAGGATTTTCATTTAGATTTTATAAAAAACAGAAACACAATTAAACACGGTATACAGAAAAGTTTTTTTAATAAACACTTCTACACAACCACTTATACTCCGAATACCATTCATTCCGAAGCTTCCGAACGTCCGACACACTTCGTCTTTTGACTACCCCTTTTTTCCACATCGAGAGAAGGCACAGGTCTCTCGCAATCCTTTTTGTCCTCAATTTTCCATCTGGAAAATGGCGTTTGCAAAATATATACTGAATCATACATAGGAAACATTTCTACAATTACTGATACAAAACAAATATTAACAAACAACCGTTATAATGGTGCGTTGGGCGACGTATCGTACCTACAAGTAAACTGTTTAAAGGCAGGCGATGGTCGACGGCGATGCTGCTTCAATTTGCGAGCCACTCGTTCCCCCAGGCCGTAGTTTACTCACGTGTTGGCCGCCTCGTTGCCATGACAACCGCCGTAAACAACGCTACGAAATGAAGCGGAATACAAACTGATTTCGATCCGTGTCACTTACTTATGCTATACGTTGTATGGTATGAG